TAGAAGCTGCTCAAGTCTACTCCTGATGACTGCTTGGCATTAGCAGCAGGTTGAACCTCTCTGCGTGAGCCACCACCTCGCGTGCAAGACATGGACATCTCAGACCATGACTAGTATTCAAGGAGATGGTTCAATCCACAGCTAGTAGATAATAAGCGGAGAAGCACGAACCAGAAAAGAACCCGTTAAACTCCGTTTGCTACTGGATACAGGAGCATCCGGAACCTTTGATTGCTCAACACTCATGCAGAAATATAGCATCAGAAGGATCTGTGGGGTGCTCAGCAAAGTATGTGGAACTACCATCTGCAGGAGAATTTAAAACGTACCAGCAAGACGAAGTGCACACAAGTGCTATTAGATTACACTCGAATTCGCACAAAGATAGATTTATCCGAAGTGATTTTTACACGATCAGCGCTTATGAGAGCTTAGGGGCAGATGATACATGAATCAATCAAGGAGAAGGTACAGACTGACATTCGACGATGCTAAGAATCAAGTCGATGATTTCAGCTACCTAGTCCGATACTATTCGACAAGGCATGCCATCGTACTATGAAGGACCAGCGCATACCATAAGCAATACGGAACTTGCCCATCCTGATTCCACTAAAGCTGTGTGATTGACACAGTGCCCAGATACGTCTCAGAGAGATTCTGAATGCGAAATACGAACGATAGCTGACTTCATGCAGCGGTTGCCCTATAAGTCAAGATCAATTAAACAACGGAAGAGAAGGAGACACTTCTCTGGTTCAGAATATCCTGACCTATTCCTAGTGCTCGTACTATAGCGAAGAGTGATCTTAGCTAGTGAGATGGACGACTACGACAGTTAGAACTTCTCCCTGATGCTTAAACCCTATCATGCTAGGGCTTATCCTATTCCACGGTTCATACCAACACTCTTTAAATGGAGGTTGAAGCGTTTCTGCGAGGCAGGAGTACTCAAGAAGGTAAACCAGTTCACGAGTGGGCGGCACCAAACCTTCATCATTCCAAGAAAGAATCTGTACGATTCATCTACTGATATCGAGACGCAAACCAAAATCGGAACAAGAGTTAAAGCGAAGCCTTATCTATCCCAAAAACAGGACATGCTCTTGAATCTAGATGAATTCAAATACGCTATAGTACTAGACTGAACAGGGACAATACCACACACGAGCTGTCACCTCACTCGAAACAACTCTGTTACATCGTACTCCCGTGGGGAAAGTACGAGTACCACGGTTGCCATGGGCCTATGTAATAGTCCGACATCTTCCAAAGGAACATAATGCGAGCCTAGAATAGTCCGTGCAATCATTGATGATCTACTCATCCTACTAACGGCGATCTAGCAGATACGTTGAAAAGTTGGATGAAGTTCTCCGAAGCTTGAGAAGCCGGACTTAAGACAATGCTACCAAGTCCTTCTTCGCAAGAGGAGAATTGAATACTAGGTTACTGGATTACTCGAGAAGGATCCAACCTATAACCAAGAAAATAGACGCGATCCAGAAATCGCTCTCCTACAACAGGAAGAAACTGTAGATTCATTGGACTAGTGAACTACTATAGAAACATGTGGATTAGACGATCACATTACTGGCGCACTCGCTTCGTTGACTCAAAACAACGAAGTGGAAATGGCGGCAGACTGCTTAGCCAGATGAGAAAGATCATCAGCAAAAACTTGCTCCGCCTACCCTGCTCAACGATACTTCGTTATCCACACGGATGCGAGTGATACTCACTAGGTGCTAATTTCCAGAAGGGAAAGACCTATGCGTTCTACAGAGAAGCAACCCTGCTCAGACACGTACAAGTTACCGAGAAGGAACTTCTCAGTATGGTAGAAACTCTAAAAGAGTTCCGTAACATTCTTCTGGGACAGGAGATCGTTGTACATACGGACCACAAGAAATTACATGTAAGAACTTCAATACCGATCGCGAATGCGATGGCGCCTTATTCTGGAGAATACGGCCCTGAACTCGGACACAAGGGCGAACAGAACATCGTCGCTGATGCGTTGCCGAGACTTAACATCTCCAACAACGACGGTTTTTCGAACAGATGGACGCCAACGAATCGCTGACTCATGGCTGCAACGAAGAGGACTTCCCTAGGATTTCCTCTCTCGTTCCCCGAGATCGAACATCGTCAGAAAGATGACAACGTTATCAAGAAGCCCTCAGGGACAAGCCAAACGATTACAAAGCAATCTTTCCCCAGAGGGGATAAGTCTACGACTTAGTAGTTAAGAACGATAAAATCGTCGTACCTAAAAACTATGCAGAAGAAGCTAGTGAATGGTACTATGGTGCTGATGCATCCTGGCGGGACTCGCACAGAACTAACCATCAGCAACACTACACCTGGAAAGACTGCGCAGGATGTGCAGGCCGTATGTCAGCGTTGCCAAACTGCCAGATGAACAAACCAAACGCGTAGCTGGGATGATGCCTCCAAAGACTTGCGAGAGATCCTTGGGAAAGACTATGTATTGACCTGATAGGCCCTTACAACGTCGGGATCCTAAGAAAAAGGAATTCCTGCACACTTCATTGCCTGACAATGATATGATCCTAACCGGATGTTTCGAGATTGCAGAGATCTGCTCCAAGGCAGCAGACGAAGTAGCCATCGTCCTAGAACAAACGTGGCTTACTCGGTATCCATGCCTGCTGAGGTTATCATGATAGAGGACGCGAGTTCCGCGCAGAGGTCGAAAAGACACTCCGGGATGAATATGGACTTCGCCGCAAGTTCATCACTACGCGTAACCCTCAAGCCAACTCTATGGTCGAGCGTGCTCATCAAACCATACGTAACTTGATCGCTTTCAAAACATCAAGTGCCAAGACGACCTCGTGAATGATCCTGGGATGGAGTCCTCACGGGGTTCGCTTTGCAATGATGCCACGATCATACCACCTTGTCCCAACGCCCGCAAACTCGTTTCAATCTGACAAGATTCACAATCGTTTCAAGCCAACTGGAAGTACATTAAGGAAGTCGCCACGACTAATCCAACAAAAACAACGACAGGAAAACGCGACGCGTGTCCCTCCACAATACAATGTCAACGAAACCGTATGATTCAACAGTATCAGCAACCGCAAGTACGGTCAGCCAAAGTACAAAGGTCCTTACAATATAGACGAGTCAATGACAATGGCACTGGTCGGCTCCAACATGCTACCCCAACGCGGCACAGTCTCCAGACTTGGAACATAAGGTATATAACACCCATACAAGGCCTGATACCTTGTAAGGATTGCCATCGTGCGAGCACATGTCTACATCCAATCCCATGAGAGTGCCCCGCACTTAAATCATATGTTTCCTTGTCGACTGTGTCCGCCTTCTGTGACCCTTGTCAGGGGCGAATGCAATACACCGGCTCTTCCTATATCGCGACTCGATCTCAGATAGGGTTTGAGTTGACTCATGAACGAGTCTTTCGTGAATAGTATTTGAGACAGGGTTCTAATACCGCGCTAGTCATACTAGTTTGATATGAAACATCGCTCTAGATATTTAGCCAGCGTGGGTACTTTCACGTTACTAGATCTAAGGTTAGAGAATCTTCCACGCGCTCCGTTTTAGGATCGTGGAGAGACGTAGGATTACTCCGCACCTACTCTATCACACTTTATAGTCTCCCGCGGAAGCCAGATCTACGATCCCTTGAATGATGATCTCTCTCGTTGATTAGTTTTCATAGCTTCTAATCTTCTCTAAACTTTCATTCTCTCAAACTCAAAAACCTCGAAAGATCTTTACCACTAGCTTCTCTCATAACTTTCATTCTCTCAAACTCAAAACACTCGAAAGATCTTTACACTAGCTTTTAGCGTAGTGCACAGTGGATGGAATAACGTCACGCATGCTGATGGGAAGAAGATTAATGACTTTCTTGTTGGGCGGAAGCTTCCAGTGGAAGTCATTGATGAGCATGTACATCTTGTACATGTAGCTGCAGTTGGATGTCTGTGTGATGATGGCATAGTCATCCACAAAGACAGTCGATCCCACATAGAGGGTGTATGCGGTGAAATAATGGGAGAGCCCACTGTTAACCGTGGCCTTGAACATGGTACCACTTCCATTCATCAACACAAGATTGTAAGACATCACAGTGCTTGACATGTCGTGGGTCTTGTACTCGCGAGACACTTTCTTTGCCTCAACCACAGTGAAAGCAGGGGCAGAGTCAGTTTCTTCGATGTCCGGTGGTTTCAATCCCTCTCCTTTCACCCAATACTTGGCGTCAGGCTTGACTGTCACTCCATCACGAAAGCCACCACCCATGGACAGGACTTTAGGAAGAGCAACAATACTCATCAAGCAAGCATCAGTGGCAAAATCAAGGCAGCCCTCTTCATAGGATTCTACCCTGGAAGCGCGGTTCATGGGGAAAGCTTGTAAGTACACAACGGCGAAATGGCGCAAAACAGTGTCACAATGAGGCTGATCTTTTTCGTTCTTGTTTTTTCAGTTCAGCGTGATTTCTTCTCGAGCGTGCACACCCACGCTGATTTCGATATCTTTGATATCTTTCTGCCAATGCGATATAACAGTTTCGGCCGCTCACTATTCCAACACGACAACAAACTAACTTGCCCCTACCAACATGGATAACAGTATCGGCATTTTACTCTCCAATGACATGATAGCAAGCCACTATACATTGTTGAGTACGGGGCATCACGTGCCGAAGAAAGAAACATAAAATATTGGCTCACTATCGAGCAAAGTCAATGCCACAACAAAACACCCCGTGGGACATCCTTTGAGAGAAAGAGACGATAGTAGTAACAGTGAGTGTTACCGTAGGACATGTACTAGGGCCTACGTACGCACAAGCCCACACCATCTTACTCACATTAGACGCTCTCGGTACAAGATATTTCTTATCACTAAGTAAAATAGATACTCGCAAAATGGCGAAGACGTCGCTTGCACGATCGCTCACAATGGCGATAACAGGCCCAAGACGCTTGCGTCTACAGTAGGATGCCACCAAGTCCAGCACCAAGAGGGCCATTGCGCATAGGTAAAATAGCCCTTCTCATCCTCTGTGACCCAATGTACGGCAGGGTAGGATTCTTCTGATCTCGTGTGATCTGACCAATCAAGTTCGTCACAGAGCTGTGCCCATACACCTCGATGATCTTGGCATTGGCTGCATCAATAGTGTAGCGACAGTTCACAACCATGTATTGCTGAATCCTCCAAATCTTGTTTCGTCTAGAGTACTTCTGCTTGAAAGGCTTGCCTTGGCCATTGACTTCATTGTTGGTAAAGTCCTTAGCAGCCTTGTTCGTGCCAATACCAAATTGATATTCCTGCCACATCTCAGTCAAGCTCTTCACATTGGGACATAGCTTGGCATACTGACTGACATCGCCCCTTGTGGCTGCCCTGGTTGGTTCTGCACGTGGTGGGCGTGGGGGTGGAGGTGGTGGGGCCGCTTCTTCTTCCTTGCCTTCTTCCTTGCCTTCCTCTTGTAGTCGTGCACGTTGCCTTGGAGGCTGTCGTTGCCGTGCTTCGGCTTCTGCGTGTTCGGATCGTTGACGCCGTCTGGTAGGATCTTGTCTTCCTAGAGCACTTTCAATACTGCCCCCAAACCTTCTCTGATTCAATACTACCCTGTCAAACTGTTGCTGCTGCCATGCACGGAGACTTGTTTGTTCTGCACGTAGCGCTGTAAACTGCTGTTCCACTGTCTGTTCAAGCCTCTGTACATGCGACAGTACATGGTTGAGGTCTTCACGGCTAACCGACACTTGCCCCTGGCCTTCTGCTGCTTCACCTGGAATTGCCGCTTCTCCAGTTGGAGCTTCGACAATGTCAACCGACTTGTTCACACGTAGTACTTTCAGGGGTATTTTTTCCACTGGATTCCCTTCGAAGTTTGGCTTCAGTTGGTTGAAGTTGGTTCTCACTCGGTCAACCTGTTCTGTAAAAAGCAAAGTCGTAAGATAAATAATAAAAGAACTCATTGACATGGTACATACCGGCTGGAAGGTACTCTGATGCTGCTGGATCCATGCAGGCCCAAAGAGTAGCCAAGGCAAGCACCGTGCAGAATCGATTGTCGTTTTGGTATCTCTCCCTTATGTTTGGAACGCAAGTGAAGAAAAGAAAGTTCTCCGTGACATCTTCGAGACCTTCCTTTAGTTTGTACTTAATGGCTCCTCCCTCACACTGGAGTGCAGCGACATAGGCATCGACGTATTGGTCATCTCTGCCTAGGTAGATCTTCCGTACCGTGCTTCTGTTAGACTCGCCAGTCCATCGACCTCTGTATTCCACCTCTGCTGGATCCGCTCCAGCTTTCTTGGCTCGGTCTGCTGACATCTTTCGCTCTGAGTGAGTCCCAAGTCCCTTCTGGGCATCTTCGCCTGTCTCATCAAATAGATCTTTGAACTCTTGATGCTTCCAACAAACCCTTTCAACCCTGGCAGCATACTGTTTCTTCACATTATTGGGACCTCTGTCAATGTGGTCGTTCTCAGTCCACAAGTGCACTACTTGTGGATGCTTGTGCAACCATTGCTCTAAGTAGATTGCGAAATTCAGAATGCAGCAAGTTTCCCAGTTCATAGAGGCCATGATGATCTGATCAGGGCAATTCTTTGTTGTTTTGACATTCTTCGACCATGATGTTTTGGTCTTCAGTGTAAAAGGGAACTTCACGCTGCCATGTGGAGCATCAACTTTGAAATGCGCTGTATCATCAATTCGATGAATCAGATGATTTGCCCAAAGCGTCATTGCCACATACTTGTACTTGTGGTTGAAGTCAGTCTCACGACGGAACAGCTCCAGTATTTTCAGAAACTCAACATGCGTATAAGCCCTCTTATCATTTGGATCAACACCAAGACCCCGAGTTTCCAGCCTTTCCGCCTGCGTCAACATCGTATTCACCACTGTGGAACGGGTTGGATTGCCACCGCTAGTGCCATTGGGGAAGTCCATCCATGCTGCGTGCTTGTTGGGCATGAACCAAGAAATAGCCTGCTTGTATTTCTTCAGAGATCCGACTCTTGCTTTGGTTGGATAATCAGTGGGACCAGGGTTGATCTTCCCGTAAGCCTTCCATTCAAGGTAGCGCTTCACATGGTTGGGCTTAATTGCTAGTAGTTCAGCCTTGGTGTATGTCTTCGCTCGAGGATGCATGTTCTCGATTCGGCCATCTTTGTGACTCATTAACTCTCGAATATAAGCCTGATTCTTGTGGTGATGAGGATACTGCCATTCGTCTCCATCATCATCCTCAGGCGGCGGTGGCGGTGGGCTTGGTGGTGGTGTTGGGTGAGGAGGAGGAACCTCATCTTCAGAGGAAGAGAGGTCAATGTTGGCCGGTCTAGATATTTAGCGGACCCGGATAAGAAAAAGACCGCACCACCGTAGGAATTTAAGGAAACTGGCATTCTCAGATCCAGACTTCAAAGCGACCAGCCAGAAAGATCACTTTTTCTTCTCAGCTCGCCCAAATCAACAAATTAACCTTGATATTACTAGTAGCTGCAGTGTTATTAGACCCAACACTGAGAAGAAAAAGGAGTTTTTGGATTGTTTGTATTGAGTTTGCCCATGGTAAAGACCAAAAAGATAGAGTAACCAGGAATTGAACTAGAGGTGCTGAATTACAGTGGCTAGCCTCACTATCAGAGGTGCCTGTGGGCTCCAACAGGAAAATTTCGCTCACGAGGCTCACAACAGGAGCACGGAGCATCGGCCGATCAAGTTCTCGACCGATTCAGCCAAAACCAAGCATACCAGCGGAGAGAGCGCATCAAGCCGGTTCAGATTGATGCTTGAAGCAAGGTCATCGGAGCTAAACTGAAGGAGTAATCGCCGATCGCGTGTTTTGGGTACCCACTCTACGAGCAAAAGCCGATCGCGCCGAACGAACACGACGACCGAACCAAGAGAGATACAGCTACGGCCGCATACAGAGATCGAAAGAGGACCTATTGCCGCCTATGCCACGACAAGTGCAAGCTCTCAACTCCGAAAATTGAGCGAGATACGACCAATCGAGTCAAACAGTGCTGAAGCATCGGGAAGAACAAGTCCCAGCCAAGCGCCGACAGCTGAAACTCAAGAAAGAAGACTTTCCAGCCTATGAAACTCATCCACTAGTTCCGACCCAGTTTCAGCCCAATTCCACCAGGATCGATTCCACCACAACTCCAAGCACACCAAGCGCAAGCCCAGCAATCCCAATCCTACAACAACGAGTTCCAGTTCCGTCCGCAGTACCACAAAGTAGGGATCCAGTTCCCGTTCCGAAACAAGCTCCAGCCTTAGCCAAAGTTCCACAGGCCCAGGCAATGCAGAAGAGTACCGTTTGGCACAGGAGTGGACTGAAGGTTAGATGACGGCTGAAAGTCGTTACCTGACGTTGCAGCTCGATCAATCAGTAGCCCAATATGCCGTCGTAAGAATGAACGGCAGGGACAGCCGATCGATATGCAGACAAATGTGGGCAAGGCCGAATGGACCGAGAGATGGATGCACCCTGGGGAGTATCTTACAAGAACCCAGGAGGCTTGGCTAATATTAATGCCCTTGGTATTCTTCTCGGATGAGTGCAAGAGCAAGAGCAAGATGGCTCGAGAGTTTGGATGTGACACCGCATACTGATGTTCCATGTACCACCTCCGTGGAGACGGGTCCTTTGTCCGATTATGGAGAGACCAAATTCGGTTGTATGGTACCGAATCGATGACATCGAGAAATAAATCATGAACTCCTACGGAAGCAGAACTCACCAGCTGGTATCTTCGGAATCTAATGTCCAGATATCACGTCGAAGGAATTTATTTATGAAGTCGCTTTCACCAGATAGCAGAGTGAAAAGTTCAAGCAACGAAGCTCTCATCGTCAGTATAAAATCCTCTTTCCATACGGTAAAACTAGTAAGATCTGTCCTATTATTTATTATGAAGATTTCATCATCTAATCAGTCAGGAGAAATTAGAAATGTTCCAAGCAAAGAGCCCAATCCAGAGCCTTCCTTCCCCCGTTAACTTGAACCCACGGCCAGATCCGCGATTGCCCCGTGATTTGGAGGATATCAATAAGCGAGCTGATCTTGACAAAGAACATGGCCAAGACAAAGATTCCACTACCCTAAGCGTCACCCACAGCTACCGAGAGTTGTACATCAGTCCCTGAAGAGTTGTTCCCATCACCGTAATGGCCTTTACCAGGTTGCCATTGGATTTGTCAATATTTGTGGTCTTAACTTTCTCTCCTTTATCATTTGAAAGTTCGATACAGGCAGATCGTCCTATTGAAAGATTTGACACGGACTCCTATTATCAGGCCATGGATCAGATTATGGACACTACTAACGGGTACAATTCTACATACGGGAACCATCCAGTGTGACAATGCGTTCTAAGCCGTTGATGGACACCGACTCAAGAACGATATGGGTGTAAACTCGACCATCCGGCAGCACAGGTGCACGCTCCCGTACGCAGAGCGAAAAACAAACAGGACAATCGAAGACCGTTACCGAGCAGGCTTTCCAACGCATTCCCTTTTCACAGTGATGCCGAAAATTAATGGTGGAGACATCGTTCTACGATTGCAACTGAAAAATGAATCTCTTCCCAGCAGCACGGGGAATCTCCCGTGTGTAACCTCCAAGGCAGATTTTGACTGGTAAGACCACAGGCTACAATGATGCAAAGAAGCACGGCCCGAATCCCCTGCAGCCCGCAAGAACAGTGCCGAGCCCCGTGGGTTGAAGTGCATCATATCTGCGTCCATCCTGGACAACACAGGTGGCCATTATTTGTTGGACTTGCACACCTGGAAGGTGAAGACACGCCAGTATGTTGACATTCTCCCGATGCCCAAGATTGTGATTGAGCGTGTGGAAAAGAAGGCCTACAGTGAGGGCATGAAGCCGCTAAGACCCACACCGAAGAAGTGGAGTTTTGCCTGTCGGTTTGCCGGCAGGAGTGGCGGGAAATCAAGGAAGCGAAAGTTACATGCAACATTTTTCCATTGATGAAGAAGAGGACGATGCAGAACCAATCGCGCCAGTTCCAGATTGGTTTGACAACACTGTCGATAGCGACGATGAAGATGATGGATCGGTCCCAGGTTTGGTGCCGAGACCACAATATGATAGCAGCGATGAAGAGGACAGTGACGACGAAGAAGACGAAGGTGACATTGTGATCGAAAGGTTAACAAGAGAAGTTCCAGGCAATCCGACAGAGCAAGCAAGCAATCGACCAAGCATTGTGGACCCAATGGATGGACCGTTTGAAGGCCCAGCCAAAGCAAGCAAGTTGACAAGAGTTGGAATCCGCAGGTCTGCCAGGATCGCAGGCCAAGCAAGGAACCGCAAAGGGAGTCACTTTCGCACAGGAGTGTACCAAGACTGAAGATCAAGGAATCGAAGAAGAAGCCGCTTCTGTATGAGACGACGGCGGCAAAGACGATGGCACAGTTCATCCATGAGATCAACCACGGTAGGATCAAAGATGACTCCGTGGAAGGAGCAAGTCATGCGCAGCAGCACTTGTTGCCCAAGGGATTGAAGATCTGGGGTGACAGAGCCAAGGCCGCAGCACGAAAAGAGATGGATCAGCTGCACAGCCGTGTGGCATTCGCTCCAGTTAGGCCAGAGGACTGTAAAGAATCGGAGCTCAAGAAGTCTCAAGTGACACTCATGTTCTGTACGGAAAAGCGAGACGGAACCATCAAGGCCAGATCCGTTTTCAATGGAAAGCCAACGAGAGTATACCAGGACAAGGATGAAACACGAAGTCCGACAGTTTCGCTTGAAGGTCTAATGTTGTCGATGTGCGTCGATGCCAGTGAAGGCCGCGACGTGATGACTTTGGATGTACCCAATGCTTTTATTCAGACAGCATTGCCGCAACCCAAGGATGGTGGTGATAGGGTGATCATGAAAATTGAAGGCATTTCTTGCAGAATTGCTTGTGGAAATCGACCCAGACACTTACAA